TTCTTAAAAGAGAAAGAGTCTTTCTGATACTCCTTGTCATTAATCTAGATGGAATGGAAGATCTCCACACATGAACAGTCATCTATAAACCTGCAGGGTACATCTGCAAGAATCTACAAGGGAAATTCTTCTTCAAAATTTATAATTTACACAAGTACAACTCTAAAACTCTTAAATAGATCAACAATTCCTTAGAAAATAGACTTTGTAAAATGCCAAGGATCTTGTCTCATGAAGACTAGCACAAAGTCAAGAAACTCATTGTATGGATGAGAAAGGAGATGGAATCACAACTGAGCTACAGGGCCATCATACAACACAAGTTTATACCTATCCTTCTTGATAGAATATTTGACATTTGAAGCAAAGAGGGAGATTGTAAAATCAAAGATTCAAGATTGATTCAAAAATGTCTAAGTGTCGAAGTCTGTAGACTTTTATTCAAAATTTTGAAAAGCCAAAATCCAGAGTTCAGGTACAAGAAAAACTTCTAAGTAATAACTCTTAAGAGTTATCTTTAGAACTCTGAAAATACAAATTTCAGAGTATTTCAGAGTTTGGCTACATAGTTCAGAATTCTACATGCACATAAGTGTTAACTCTGAAGAACAAACTTCAGAGTTCTGGAAGATAAACTTCAGACCAAGCGATCAAGACCAAGTCTTGAGTGAAAGTCTGAAGACCAAAAGTTTAGAGTTAGAATAACTCTGAACTAGCCAAACTTTGAAGATTGTCCAAAATACAAACTTGACATGTGTAATAGATTGATAAGGATTATCTTTTATACTCTATATTTATAGGAATTCTTTTTTGTGTATACATAGTGTTGGGTTCAATATTTTGTATGGTAATTGTATTCAAGCTTTGATATTTCCTTCTATAATTTCCTATAGAATAAATAGTCTAGTTTGCTTTGTAATTTCAGTTGTACGTGTCATTCCATTTGTAAGCTTTGAAGATTGAATAAAAAATCCTTTGAAGAAAGAAAACTCTCTCTATATATTTCTTGATTCTACCATAGTTGATCTTGTGATTTTGTATTGAAACTGTGAATTGATTGATTAAACTGGAACAACAATTGGTATTAGAGCTAGAAAACAACAACTAGATTACAGATTGGATGCAAATTGAATCGATTTCTTGAAGTTTTGAAATTTTTTTTGACCCTGTTCTTCGAACACAATTCTATTTTGATTTTGCGAATTCTAAATCCATATTTTGTGTGTGTTTTGATTAAAAATTGATTGGGATTTGTTCGTATTGCTACTTGAAACTATTTTGAATCATTCAATTCATCAATTGAATTCAATGCCTGATTTTGAGTTTTATGAGTTCGAAAAGTGTTTGAAGTTCTTAAGTCTATTCTTGATCTTTTAGATCAAATTGTGCATTTTGATATGTTTTAGAAAAAAACTGTAATACCAAAATCTGTTCGTATACACATTTCGAGCTTTTATGTGCATTTTTCATCCAAATTGATTGAATTTTTGGGTTTTTGGATTGAATACTTGTTTGATCTTCCTTCATCACTTGATACACATATTCATTGAACGATATAATCTCTTTCTTCGCTCATTGAATTTTTTGAAACATTGGATTGTTTTGCCCGATTTACTTGTTACATCGCTCATAGTGTTAGGCGAGCCTGTTGATACTTGTATTTTTTGAAATCTTTCAAGTGTTTGTGTATATCGTTCACTTGTTGAGTGATTTACATTTTCATCGTTCAAGTTGTATCCGATATCTTGTTGTTATCATTCAAGTTTTGAGCGATAAACTTAGAATATGTGCTGGGCGATATTGTCTTGGAAGATAAAAAGTCCAAGTGTTTGGCGATAAAGGGTTGGGCGATCTCATGTTTGACTTTGAAGCAGATCTGAATGATAATGAGTCAGACTTTCCTTTTCCTAATGAGCCAAATGATGAACCTGTACTAGTAGCAGAACCACCAGTTGTTTCTTCTTCAACTTTTCCACCATGTGCTAAAAATGTTTCATCTTTAAGAAGGTACATTTCGATGTTTGAGAAGATAGTAGCTCCAAAGTTGGACAAAACTAGAATCAGAGAACCATTTCTTAAAGATATCTACACAAACATTTTTGTTCATATGCTGAGAGACCTGGGGTATTCGAAAAGAATACAAGTACTTCTTAAGTGCTAAAATCCAACCCATTCATTTTGTAAGGACAAAACATCGAATTGTTGCGATAAGGTGGAAGCCAGAAAGTTGATAAGAGTATGGTATCCTGTCTTTTATGTTCTACGACAAGATGGTAAAGAATGGTACTTTAGTGAAGTTGATTTTCCTAATATGTACCTAGAAGACTTGGAGTTCATGTACCATGAATTTAGAAACCGTACTGTCAGATAGAAAGAAGTCGTTAGAGCTTTGGAGGCCATCAAAAAATTTCTGAAGTGTCAAAGTAAATTGTTTTCAGTGACAAATGTTCAAATGGGTTGTGAGAGCAACCAGAAGAAAGTTAATATGAAGATGTTAAATCAAGAACTAGAAGACGTTGATGGTTATCCTTTGTTCATGATTCTTGAAGAATCAGAGTACGGTGTGGTATATGAGAATTCCGAGGGAGATAAGAAGTTTCTAAGATTCCATGAGCTTGGAAAGTACAGTGATGGAACTATCAAGCTCATCAGAAAATAGTTGAAATCAAAGAAGGTACAGGATGACAAAGCTTCAGGGCCTGATAAGCTGAATTTGAGAGAAAGTTTCTTATTACTTAAAGCTTTGGAGTTATTTGACGAGAAGATAGAATATCAGAATGCTATCAAAAGATTGAAAATTCACCTTAGATTCCGAAGATCAAGTTTTCTATATCCAGAGCTTGAATCCAAAGGGGGAGAATGTTGGGTTCAATATTTTGTATTGTAATTGTATTTCAGCTTTGTTATTTCCTTGTAATAACCTTTAGTATAAATAGTCTAGTTTGCTTTGTAATTTCAGTTGTACGTATCATTCCATTTGTAAGCTTTGAAGATTGAATAAAAAATCCTTTGAAGAAAGAAACTCTCTCTCTACATTTCTTGATTCTGCCATAGTTGATCTTGTGATTTTGTATTGAAACCGTGAATTGATTGATTAAACTGGAACAAAACATAGATGGCTTGTTAGTCTATGAAATTAAAATTTTCGTATCAATAAACAGCCAACTGTTGTAATTCGTTGCAATTCTTTCCTTGAATAAATAAATTCATTGTTTCTCATAGTTTGTTCTTAGTTGATCTTGTTTATTCTTTATTCTTTGATACCTTGATACATTGTGCGGGGACTTTCATGGTATTTGATTTCGATGTGCTTGGTCTTCGAATAAAGAACAAGATTGTTAGCTAATGCTATAACAGTAGTGCTATCACAATATATGTGAATCTTTGATAATCGCATATCATAATCACTAAGTTGATTTCTCATCCATAAGACTTGAGCACAACAACTACCAACAACGACATATTTAACTTTGACTATTGATGTGGACACTGAGTTTTGCTTTTTATTTGTCCAACTTACCAACTTACCAACAACCTCCAGTGGTGCTCTTCTTGTCTAGCTTACAACCTGTAAAATCACTATTTGAATACACCAACTTACCAACAACCTCCAGTGGTGCCCTTCTTGTCTAGCTTACAACCTGTAAAATCACTATTTGAATACCATGTTATATTGAACCCAGAGTCTTTGGGATACCAAATACGCATATTGGGTGTACCCTGAGATATCTGAATATGCGCTTTATAGTGATCAAATGAGATTCATTAGGTTTATATTGATAACTTGCACAAAGACAAGTATCATACATGATATAAGTCGACTAACTGTGAGATACAACGAATATTTCAACTTCAAACCCTAAACCAAATCTCTAAAATCAAAAAATAAAAACACCAAAGAAATTTATACAAACATTCGGATCCAGATTTCAACTTCAAACCCTAAATAGGTATGGATTTCGACTTCAAAATCTTAAACAAATCTAGACTTCGATTAGTGATTTCATCTATGTTGACAAACTTGGATTTGGGGTTCAAGTTCATCAATGTTTGAGAAAGAAAAGTTGAGAAGACACCGTAGTCTTCAAACCCATATGAAAGAAGGGCATTCACAGAGTTTCACGCCACCATCATCTTCAAACCCAGGGATGATTCTTGCGGTGGTAAGGTTCATCACTTTCGATTGATACGGAGGACATAAGCGTTTCAATAGATCTGGAACGGTTTTTACCTGATAAACGATGTTGGAAGAAGGAAAGTTCGTCATAAAAGGAGAGGTTTTCCAAAAGGGATGGAGGTTATTACGCCGGTTGATAAAGGTTCACAAGGTACAGTTGAAACTTGATTTGTCGGAGAAACAATTTTGTTGCTTCGAAGAAGTGTTATTAACATTGGTAGGTCAGTAATGGATTATGAAGATGAACATGGTTAGGTGGCGATAGGAATAGGGTAGGTTTTTAGTTTTGATTTATTTATTTATTTTTTTTAATTTTAAAACACTTGTACATCAAGCTTTAAATACTTGTACCTTCAAAAACTTATAAACAAAAGACCTAAAATGACCGATTTGCCCCTCATATGAGGGGCACATGGCATGCTAACGACAACAATTTGGATGGCGTCCATGGGAGAGGCAAGGTTGGCAAAAAAAACTCGATATTTGGACCAAAAATGTACTTCATGTTTCAGAGGGACCAAAACCAAAAAAAGAGTTATTCACAAGGGACCAAATTTGCAATTCACTCTTTGTTTTAACATAAACTAAGAAAATTGGATAAAAAGACTAAAATACCCTTCTAGTTAACCTACTTAACAGGAAAAAAAATCTTAACAAAGTTAAAGTAAGGGAAAGAATACGTTTTAAAATGCATACAAGATAAATCAAATTCATAATTATTTCAATTTAGGGACCTAAAATGTTATTTTGTGTAAACCACATGGACCATAAATGAATTTTTTTTAGTCATACTTAAAAACAGTATTCAAAGGAGTTTGAGATCAAGTGATCGTTGCCTGAGCGAAGATATAAAAAGCTTATTCGGTTGACAAAATCTCGATCCAGGGTATGGAGCAGTTGAATTCCATCGTCTGATTTCATTCTTCTATAATAACACTAATTGAAAGTAGCCAAGAATATTCATAAGAAAGAAGGCAGAATCATCAACATCATCGTTTTCTGTGTCCGGAAATCCTTCAAAGATGTCCTCCGTCCGCTTTCTTGTAGCACTCTGTATCATCTCCTCGCTTGTTCCGTCGATCTTTTCGCACGAGTTTAAGATAGATGGGAAGGTTTTGGAGCTTGATGAATCCAACTTCGATGCCGCAATTTCTTCCTTCGATTTCATCTTCGTCGATTTCTATGCCCCATGGTGTGGCCACTGCAAACGTCTATCTCCAGAGGTAGGTTTATTTCTGCTTGTCCATATCCGTGTTCAGATTTTTAGGGTGCTTGCTTTGATTTTCTTTCACTTTAGGAGATCCAATTTGGTAGTAAATTACTGATTATAGGGTTATGAAGTTTAGCCTAGCGGTTTCACCAGGTCACCTTACTCCTCCTCAGTAAGCAAGAGGTCCCGGGTTTGAAAGGTGCTATCAATTCATGTTGTGGGCCACCCCATCTTGGCTAAAAGGTTGGAAATTTATAGGTTTCATGCGGAGGAGGCATCTTGCATGAAACGTGAATGAGGCGCTTTGAATGGCCCCTGTGTATGAGTGGGTTACGATGTCATTAATAGGGAAAACTCTAAATAGTAATATCTGATTTGGAGTTTGAAGAGATGCTACCTGTCATCATACAACTTACAAAGATTAAATATATTCCCATTAGAGGTGAAGTAACCTTTCAAAAAGATGAAAGTAGTGACTGCTTTAGGATGGTATTTATGTTCATTGGTTGAAATGCCTCTATGTGGCAATAGCAACTAGCAGGTTTAGTAGGCTAAAAACAATATGCTCCGTGAATTCCAGTTTTAAGAACAAGGAAACATTCAATTTTTTTCTTCTTTCTATAGGAGCATGAGGCTTATGTGCCGCTCATGGAAGTTGTGGGTATGGGTTATTGATCATAGATGAAGGACAAGGTGTGCTGTGATTGTTTTAAGTTTTAGACTTATGCATGCCTATATGATCTAGGGAGAAATACAATGCACATAAAGGAATCCACATGTCATGTCATTGACATAGAGAAGGTATTGTTAGTGGTATCAGTGGCTAGTAGATGTTCCATTGGGATAATATGTATTATAGTAAAGAGCAAGGAGAATTAATTGTTCAATTGCACAGCTGTTTGGAACATTTTCACTTACCTTCTAGGTTGGTTGAATTGCTTTTTTAACATCAATTTCTCCTTGCTAGTAAAACTGGTTAAGTAGAGTGGGCAACTCTGAGTTTGCTTGTGGTACTATAAGAATAAATGTTAGGTTATGGCAGCATGTAAAACCAATTGTTGCTCCTTCAGTTTCTGATAAACTTATCCTTTAATTCCTTTGATGCTCCATTGTGTATGCAAATAGAATATTAAACAGTTAGCCTTAAGGAATATGCAAGTATCCTTATTTCAACTTGCTAATATTTGGAACTTTTGTTTTATTTATATTCTTATGTTTACCCAAACTTCCATGCACTATGTCGTAAAGATCATGGAAGCATTGTTGGCTTCAGAAAGTATATTTATGGAAAACATGTTTCATTGAGCAATGCACAAATATATGGAGTAGAAGACACATGAGCAGGTTGAAGAATATAAGCTTAAAGAAAGCTTAAACAATCATACTAAAGCATAAATGCAAAATGTACCACATCTTACTCTCCCGCATATTAGAACAAATATGTCAAATATGCCCAACTTACTGGATCGATATGGGTCCTACAGAGTGGCTATCTCAACGTGTTTGCAACCTAGCACTTGAAATGCACCTAAATTGGCTCAATAGAAGGTTGACAAGAAACATCTACCACATATTGTGGAAAATATGTTAATCTACCTCAATATGTCCAGTGCAATTGTGATCTATTCTTAATCATGCATTTAGCTACGACATTGGCACAATGAATTTCCATGGAATCAGTCATAGAATTACCAACTTCTTCCCTTGACATGTACCCATATTAGCCATCAAGGACATGGCATCTTTTTAGAATCAACACTAGATAGAACCTTGTGCCCTTTGAAGATCCAAGATTACTAACGACAAACGAGAGAATGGATTAGTAACACAACGCCATGTACAAATGCAATGAGAGTGGTACTCATTTATCTTTCTTGAAATAACTTCCAAACCCCATAAAGAATAAATTTAATAATTCCTTCTGTACCTTTGATCCCGATTATATTGCTAACTTGCTATATCATTTTTCATATAACTTCTTGTAATGCCCAATCCCAATGGATGCCATTTACGTTCTTTTGATACTACTAAGTCTTGTATGTGAACTAAATTTAACTTTATTCCTTTTACATCTTACTATTACATCAGGGTTGAAACATCGGCGGAAACGTTACTCAGAGCTTATAATACAACAAAATTTGCTATTAATTAGCTAAGCAGTTAATTCGGTCGGTAGCGGAAATAGCGATTCGGACCTTTATTTGAAATAGCGGTTATAGCGATGAAATAGCAGTAAAATCAAATATGGTCATAACATAAATACGATAATTATATATATCTCACGTCAAACACTTAAAATATTGTATGCCTAATACATATCAAGTCAAACAATTCAAACCACACAAGCAACATAGTCTAATACATATCAAGTCAAATAGTTCAAACCACACAAGCAACATAGTAATAGAGTTTATAAAGCTCATAAACAACTAAACGAGCTAATTGCAATCCACAGGCTCGACATCTGAATCCACATCAGTTAGTATATCCACTCTTTCAAAAATCGAACAACAGTTGAGCAAAAATTGAACAGCAGTGAGAGTAGTTGGAATAGATTGTAGTTGGAATCAAACAACAATAATCGAAAGTAGTTGGAATTGGTAACTGTCAGCCGGAGAGTTGAGACTCTGAGAGTCGATCAATTTAGAGTTGAGAGTCGATCAATTTAGAGTTGAGAGAGAGAGAGCGCCGAGAGTTGAGAAATCGATGACCTAATTCAATTTTTTCTTTTTTGTTTAATTGTTTGATTAATTTGTTTCTTTTTCTCTGCAGGCTTCATCTTAAATAGCCCACACCAAAAGCCAAGTTATTGTTTTTAGTCCAAAAAAAAAATAAGTCCAAAAAAGTCTCCAACGAGATAGTGTTATAGTGGAATGTTATTTGGAAGCAAAATGGCGGTAAATAGCAGTAATAGCGGCCACTATTTAGACCGCAAAACCTGGACTGCTATTTGATTGAGGTTCGCTATTTGATATACCGCCGCTATAGCATGCAATTGACTGCCCAATTGATCAGAATAGTAACTACTTCATGCTATCCCTCTTTACTCCTTCCCTGAGATACGTACATGGAATACATAAATTTTAAACTTTAGCGATTACGATTTCATGAATAAACAATTTTCGTAGACTTACTGATTTGTGAACATAGTTGTTAAAAGCGCGTCCGAGGAGCGCCTAGGCTCTGAGGCTGAAGGTCTTGGACTTTTTGAAGTTGAGACTAGGTGTAATCACGATGCTCACCATGGGCCTGCACCTTGGCTGAGGTGCCTTGTAGGCCTAGGCGCGCCTCATAAAGAGTTACTAAATACCAAGTCAAACCCTAATATTAAATGACTTTTCTCATCTTCTTATCTCTTATACTTCTTAAAGAAAGAGATTAAATAGATGACATAAATCAAACCCTAATATTAAATACCCAATTCTTATAACTTCAACCCTCTTTCTCTATAAATACCCAGACCTTAAAACTTCTCCCTTATGGCTCACGCCGTAAACCCTTCTTCCTTCTGCCTCTATCGAAGTATTGCTGGTTGCTGCACTGGAGTACTTACTACATATTTGAGTTGTATATAACTGTGTATGTGTGTGTATATATATTTACACTTGTTTTATAAGATGCGCTTCATATCCTGAGGCCAGCGTCTCGTGCCAAGGCCCCAGTACCCCTTCGCGCCTAAGTGCGCCTTGAGCCTTTAACAACTTTGTTTGTGAATAATAATTCAATAAAACTCTTCATCATGCATAAAATACCCTTTTTGAGATCTCACATGCGACATGAAAGTATGCCATACTTGCCTTGAGTTTGCTAACCTCGGGTTCGTAAAGATCACCCCAAAAGGTCTGTTTGCGAGATGTCCCTACATTCTATATCTGTTTGCGAGATGTCCCTACATTCTATATCTCGTACGTTGGATATTTATGGTCATACATAACATGCATAAAACTTCCATGCCTTATGTGTAAAACACATACTAACATAATAAAATGCCATAATGCATATATCTTGGCAATATAACCGTATCCTCAATTCATGTAAAGCAAACATGCCAAAACATCTTATTAAATTCTTCATAACGTATAAAATACATTTATATAGCACTAGAAGGTTACTCGTGCAATGCAGCGAGATACATCTTGTTTTTAATATTTCATTTTATTCTCTATCTCAGTCGATGTTATAGTATGGTCTTATGTGATTTTGAAAAAGCGATGATGTTTTTATTTTTGAATAAAATATAAATTTGAAAATATCATAAAAATTTGACAAAAATATATCGATATTAGTATCAAATTAACTATTTAAAATTCCTATTTTTTGTGTGATTTTTTAATTCAAACTTTTTTATTATAATTTAATTTAGGTTCAATAATGAAGTAATTTATATTTGGTTTAATAATATAATTTTTTATAATATTAATAATAATTTATTTTGTTAGAACTCGATAATTATCGTAATTATATTTTAGATTTTTTATATTTTAAAATGAGATGTTTATCCTTTATTTGATTATGTTTATCCGCAGTTAGTTAAACGAATTCAAATATGGAGCTTTAATAAGTTGTACTTATGCATAATTTACTTGTAATCTTGAATTTTAAGTAATATGCATCAATATACATTACTTCATGCATAAAAAATGGTTTTTAAGAGTTTTTGTCAAATGCTTTATAATATAGTATAGATATATCTATCTTTGTAAATCTCATAACGTACTCACTTTGCTTTACGCTTTGCTTTTCTTCTAATTCGATTTGGCACTTCGAACATTGTATATTCTAACATTTGAGAATGTTTTCTTACTTTGGGATGGAAATAATGGTTTCAGTTCAACCACTATTTATAGGTGATTACGATGTATTAACTACTTGTTCTTCTTGCTCGCATGTTTGTACCCTCATGAGAGTTTTAACACCTCATGCTTAAGATAATAATCTTGACAAATCATGCTTTTCGCTTTTGTTTGTCATGCTTCTAGCTCTTGTTTGTCATCATGAATTTTGCGAACACGTACTTCTAGCCTTGACAACTCATAACTAGTTTTTTTGTCATGCTTACTAGACTTGCTTTGTCAAGTCTATAGGTTTGATTTCTCATGCTTTGTCTTGTAAGCTACTTGTCATAAAGGATAGATGATTTTTAGTTGCTAATGTTGGCCAGCTGCTGGTGCCTTTTAGTGCACTTAGTTTCAGAATCATACTTGTATTTAAGACTTAAAACACGAAATCTAACATATATAGAAACTAAGGTGTTATGCTTCTGAATATATATTTCTCTTTTTTGGGCACCTTCTCTTGATATAAAATCAAAGAATCTTAGAATTGTGGAACAAATAAGTGTATCACATGCTTACCCCAACTCCCGAAGCCTCTGAAAGAAGTTTTTGTTTTAGGATAGTATTGAACCGCAGGTATGAACACACCATCATTGCTGCTCTCTCTTTCAAATGCTATCTTAATACGTTGAGATCATGCAAGCAGAGTTTGAGCATATTTAACAGATTTGGGACTTACCAAGATGGCTAACTGCTTATGTGAATCCCTTAAACCAAGCTCTTGAAGAGTGCTTAAAAGTCCATATAAGGATCTTGGGGGATGTCAAACTTCATATCCTTCTCTTGAACTACAAAACAAAGTATATGATCCATATATTCCTCGTTAGTAAGGCTGTTGTGAAAGATATTCTTGGTTTCCAGCTATGAAGTAATCATAGATACATAGCTACATGGGCAGTGAAATTACTAGCCTGTTGCTTAATAATCAATATCATAGCTGCAAATAAAACTTGGCAACTAATCAGTCCTTTACTGGTGGATAGAACGTGAGATTGCAATTTGACTTGAGCGCTTCCTTGGTGGAAGGCATGACAAAACATACATTCCTTTCAAAGTACAATCTTTTTGCCATTATGAATGCTCATATGCCTCGCAAATAATCTTGAGCGCTTCCTTGGGGAGGTAGAAGCCCAATCTTTTGAGGATGGAATTGTAGGGGCCATATGGTTTTGGAGATGGTGATAGGTGGAAGTACCATGATCCTTATGCATAATGATAGGATTACTTTGTGACATGAGGTTATGGAGGGTAGTGTGGTTCAAGTGGGAGAAACGGGTAAGATGGGAACTTACTGGTTCACGCGAGTGGGAAAACACGATTTATTTGGGGATTAAGGAAAGGTTAATTCTAGAGTCATCACCTACAATTGAAGCTGCTAGTAGATGATGTTGGTTTCTCAAAGATTCTTTGGAGATCATCCACATTAGGTGCTTGAGAAGATAGAATCCATTGGAGTAAAGAACAAAATAATACAGACCTCTTGAACCTAACATGTGGAAAGTATCACTTGAATTGAAGCGAAAATAGCCTTTTGGGAATATGAATACCCAACAAGCACACATTTGAGAAATGTGGGGTCTAGCTTTTGCTGATCTACCCTCATAATGAACAAAGCAAACACACAAACATTGTCGGCATGATGGGAAACAATGGAGCAAGTGAATATAAAATTGTTACAGGAAATGGCATAAGTACATAAGTAGGCATCCTATGAATCAAAAAAATTGGGAATGAGAACTTCATTTGAACATAATTCATGGGGACATCACAGTAATTAAGAAGAGGTTCTTTATCAAGAAAAAAAGGAATCAAAGGGGGGCGAACTACCTCTACTCTCTTGTTCAACTACACCATTCAGTTGAGGGGCATATGCACCAAAAGCTTCATGAATAATCCCATGGGAAACCAGATGGTTTTGAAGGTCCACATAAATATCTTTTGTCTTGTTACTCCGCTAAGGGTTTCTGAAAGAGGCTTTAATTAATTTGACCATAGACATATTTTCTAGAACGTAATCTTTGTAATTTTAACCATTAAAAATACAAGGTGTGACAAGAACCATCATTACTGGAAATTAAAGCATTTTAAGCCAAGAGGAGAATAGGTTCAAGGCTCTAGGCCACATTAGATTGAAAACTTTATCATGAAAGCTTGCTTCAATCGTGTGTAGGACACCAACCAGTTATTCATGCTTGATTGTTTCTTAATCTGTCTATGGCATACTGAACCTTTCCTAGACCTACCTAAGGTTCTAAACATTTTTAAGCATGATATTGTGTATCTAAACATACATGTTATACCCTAACAATATGGTCTAAACACACAAAAGATGAAGCTAGAATGTAATTGAAAATGATGTTATTGAATTACGTAAGTCAAGCTTATTGAAAATATAATGCTTTTTTGAAGAAATTTGAGATTATACTGTACACTGCTACTGTTGCTGCTAGGTACCTAAATTTCTTATCCTTTTAACCAGTTACCATGTATATATTACCCTTCGATCCTTAAAAATCACCCATTCTCTAAACTTTAATTTATCAAATGAAATATGCTGCTGTTGTGGCATTATTTATTGGTAAATTGGGATGGCTACCTGTACTCATGTAGCGTGGAAGTGCAACTGTATAAAAACCATTTATTTTCCTTTTGTTGTGTCAATGTAGCATTAAAGTCCACCTTGATGACTTCTAATTGTTGTCATGTATACCATCTGATGAAAGCTGACAAGCTATTGTTGTTTCATTTCAGTTAGATAAAGCTGCTCCTATGCTTTCCGGATTGACGAAGCCCATTGTGATTGCAAAAGTAAATGCCGACAAGTATTCCCGTCTTGCTTCAAAATATAAAATCGAGTATGTTCCATGCCTTCTATGATTTCCAACTGATTTTAAAACAACAAAAACTCGAAACGTGTAGGAGTTGATTTTTCACTAATCTGGATTGAAACCTTAACCCACTTCAAAGTTCTACATTACGAGTTCCAAAATTAATCGGAGATATTTTTCTCTAACACATGCATCTGCTGCTGTGATACAGTGGGTTTCCTACCTTAAAGATTTTTATGCATGGAGTTCCCACTGAATATAATGGGCCAAGAAAATCAGACTTACTAGTTCGATATCTCAGGAAGTTTGTTGCTCCTGATGTTACTGTTCTTGAATCTGATTCTGGTATTACTGAGTTTGTTGAAGCAGCTGGGACGGCTTTTCCAATATTTATAGGCTTTGGTTTGGATGAGTCAGCAATATCAAATTTGGCAATTAAATTCAAGAAAAATGCATGGTTTTCGGTGGCAAAAGATTTCTCAGAAAAAACCATGGCTTTGTATGAGTTTGATAAGGTGCCTGCTTTGCTAGCCCTTCATCCAAACTTCAACGAACAGAACATTTTTTATGGTCCAGTTGAAGGTTAGTTGAATTTCAAATTACATTAATCTCTGCACCTTATGCACTTTGTGCCATGTATGCAATTGGGAGTCCTAGGGAGGAAGTTTCTACTTTCTAGACAGCAATAAAGAATTGTTCGAGGTGAAGCATGCATTACTTGTAAACTAATTCTTTAGATTAAAATAAGATGCTTAGAAAAATATGCTGATTTAATTTGGAGAGAGAGGGAGGAGGAAGGCAACAAGAGGGTAAAAATCATTTCCAAGAAGTCCAAAGCCAGGATGCTCATCTTTTGTACTATGAAACACATTGTCAATGAAATATAACTTAAGAGATTGTCATCTCCATTTCTTTCCTTTCTAGTGGCAAATATTAAGATGAGTAGCTGCTCTTTGCTGTTACCGACTTACCGCTATCATTCCTGAAAATTATGGGGGGGGGGGGGGGGGAATTTGAGTTCTTCATTATTGTTTCTGGCTGTCTATGCAATAGCCCCTCCTTGCTCTCTCTCTCTCTCTCCCCGTCTTTTTTTGCTTTTCCAGTACATTCATATTACTCCATCCACTAACCTGTTAAATATGCTGATCAATTCAAGTTCTTTCTAGGCACGGATTTCTTGTTTCAGTTTTCAATAAGAAACAGTTCTGAGAAAAAGTTTCAAGCAGAGCTTATAATGAATATTTTCTTAATAAAAATCTTAATTGAAACAAATGGTATTACAGGGTCCAACCAATAGGCCAATAATTTACTGTGTATGATGTTGCTGCATGTAACTGATGTATTATCGATGATTTGATGAACACACAATCGAATCAATATGGAATTAGAACAGAAATTGAACGGTTACAAAAGATTTATGGGCACTTCGAGACTGTCGGATGTCTCCCAAGGCTCTTGCCCGAAACACATATAAACTGATCGATACAACCCTATTGACCTAGCCTCCCTTATTTATACTACCCCACTAATACTTCTCTTGCATCAACTACTTGTACTAGTGCAATTAGGCACTTGTACCTGGCCTACCGTATTTGACCATTTGATCCCACTACCTAGGGTATAACAATACCTGCCCCCCAAACTCAACCTTGTGCTGAAGGTGGAAAAACTAGAAATACCGGTTCAAAAGCCTTTCATCAACTACTGCTGCCGGTGGTGGTAGTGGCGGTGGCGGCGGCGGTTTCCTATGAGCATCGTGTAACCAACCTCTTCTAAACGCTAACGATGTAAAAGAGTGTAACGGCGAAACATTGAGCTCATTTAAATTCGAAATAAGCTTGGTCCAACCTGGAATCATCGTCTCGCTATGATTGCTATAGTTGTTCGTATTATTCACATGCCATTGTAGCTTCTATACTGTTGTTCTGGAAATGAAATTGTTAGTTGCACTATTGACAATAAACACTCCTTTCCCATGAATTGTTCCTACTAGCTTCATTGGTTTCGGGTTAGTCACACCTCATCGAATGATTCCCACTTTTTGAAAAACTTCTCTGAATTTCACCAGTCCCATCTCTTCTTCACTGACCTCGCTTTTCTTCCACTTATGATCCAGGTACCCCTCACCACGACAAAAATCTATACCTTCTGTAATGGTGGTAGGGACACCCGTCTTCCACATAGTCACCCCTGTATACCTGGTTTCTGTAGCTCCACCCCACATTTTGTTATTCCACACCAATTGATTTTTATTCTTGCTTAATACTTTTTCTCTTCAACTAACTGAAGCATGAATCGTGCTGTCCAGGTCATTAACAACTTGAGTATGACAATCTTTCTTTAACTGCTCCGGCTGCTGTTGGTATCACACACCTGTTGATATTTGTTCTCGGACCCTTTCTGTTTAAAATTGACAAATTGCTCACAAAAACGACCACCTACCCACGTCTTAAATTGACGAGATAACATCGCCTTGAGGTCGTTCCATCTCGTAAAGAGTCGGTATTGATTCTCCCATTGAAACCAATGTAACACATCGGCCACGAAACTAGTTACGGCCATTTCAATCTTCTCATCTTCGATTAATCGATTCAATGCAAAATTATGTTCTGCCCTAAAGATCCATCCATCAGAATCCTTCCCACCGAAAATTGGAATTTCCAACTCCCTATCTTTAATTGACAAGAGACGATTTACCTCATGTCGACCCTATCTGCCACCTCTATGCCACCTTGTTCCCCTAATTTATCTTCAGACAACCGTAGTCCATCCTCTTCTGTTCTCATTAGTGTGGTCTGTTTCCTTGACGATTTCACCTGAAGCTCGATTAACCGCTCCAATTGCTTCATAGCAGTGCGCATATCCTCCTTCAACGAGCCAACTACAACCTTCACATGTCCCAACCTATTTTCCATTTCACCCACCCGCATTGAAACATTTCTGGCGATTGTATCTCTGTATTCTTGTTCAGAAGTCTTGTTTTTTTATTGGTATCAATCAAAAAGTGTGTCCAGCGATCACAACATTATCCACCAATACTAGACAAAGGATTTTGGTCCAGCAATTGCAACTGGGAAGTTTATTCAACAATTCAGGCAAGTTGTGTCAAAAACATAACCGTGAGATCTCTAGCAAGGAATGGATTACAGTAGCAGTTCTAAACAGTAGATTGCCAGACATATTGAATTGGTCTTTTCTCAAAATTGATTACACCGCTAGATCAGACCAATTGAAGACGCTATCCAGGCTTCTAGAATCCACCGAACAGATTGTAATTGCATTCATGAAGATACTCCCTTATACGCACCAAAATCAGCAGGAAGAAAAAAGTGTTATGTCAGTTGAGAAATTGGGATCGAAATTCGAAAGATGCTCTGATACCTATTGATGTACTCTCGATGATTTGATGAACACACAATTGAATCAATATGGAATCAGAACAGAAATTGAATGGTTATAAAACCCTAATGACCTAACCTCCCTTATTTATACTACCCAACTAATTGTACCTAGCCTACCATATTTGACTATTTGATCCCACTACCTAGGGTATAACAGGAACCAAGAAAATGCTCTTTGAAGGCTGTAATAATTCTTACACCGGGCACATAATCAAATATTGTGGTGGTTTTTGATACCTTTCAATTTAGAAATGGTTGCATTGCTTTGACATTCCTTTTTTTCTCCTATGAACACACAGAGAAGTTTTTGGAAGAGTTTATTCAACAGAGTCTTTTGCCATTGACCCTACCAATCAGTCCAGAAGGTCTAAAGCTGTTGAAAGACGATGATAGAAAAATCGTGCTGACCATTGTGGAGGATGAGACACACTTTGAATCAAAGGCATTGATCAAGTTATTGAGGGCAGCTGCATCTGCAAACCGTGATCTTGTATTTGGTTATGTAGGTTTTAACCAGTGGCAAGATTTTGCTGAGGCTTTTGAAGTTGATAGGAAAACTCCATTGCCGAAGATGGTTGTTTGGGATGGGAATGAAGTATTTTTCTCGGTAAGCTGTGAACACTTTTATTGCTAATTATAATTTATTTGTTTAATCTCTCTAGTATTGTCTCCTTTTATGTGCACGGAATTACATTCCTTAAAGCTAAATCATGCATCTTATTAAATTCGATATAGTGATATTATGGCTCTATGCTAGTATAAATATTGACAAGGCAAAACATTATTGAAAGATGAGAACGTTGACCTATTTATTTATGTGAGCCACTCCCTCAATCAGGAGACCCTCTCTCTGAACCTTTAGTGTGGCCATGCTGGAAAAAAATACCCATCGGGGACTAATATAGTGTTGTATATAGTGGGTCTAACTTTCTATATCTTCATGTATGCCCTCCCCCCCCCCCCCCCNTATATATATCTATACTATATTATAAAGCATTTGACAAAAACTCTTAAAAATAATTTTTTATGCATGAAGTACTATTTATTGATGCATATTATTTAAAATTCAAGATTACAAGTAAATTGTATGTAAATACAAATTATTAAAGCTTCATGTTTGAATTCGTGTAACTAACTGCAGACAAAACATAATCAAATAGAGGATACACATCTCATTTTAAATATAAAAAAATCTAAAATATAATTAGGATAATTATTGAGTTTAAACAAAATACTTGATTATTATCTTTATAAAAAATTATATTGTTAAACCAAAGAAAAATAAATTAAAGAAATACACAAAAAAGGAGAGATTTTAAATGGTTAGTTTCGTACTAATATCAATATTCTTTTTTCAATTTTTTGTGATATCTTCATATTTATATTTTAGTCAAAAATAAAAACATTATTGCTTTCTCAAAACCACATAAAACCGTATTATAACATCAACTGAGACAAAAAAACTAAACATTAAAATCGAGATGTATCTTGCTACATTGTGCGAGTACCCTTCTAGTATATATATAACAGAAATATGGTGAGAGGTTCATTGATTTTCTCTTATAATAAAGAGGTGAGAACTAGACATGCAACCCCCACTCCCACCAAAAACACCTACCTGTTACTGTATCACCTGGGCATCAAATTGATGTGTTATGGTGCCTAAGGACCTCTTGCTGCCCCCATACACATGGTGAACACAAATATACATCTGCATCTGATTTGTAGGTTGCAAACAGTGTCTCAATTCCTTTTTTTTTCTTTTTTTCTGTTTTGCATTCACATGGTCCTTATTGATTACAACGAACGACTGTGCTAACAGGATGTGTTGATCCTCACTAGGTCTGGATGCTATCCTACAGGGGATGTATCTATGGTACATCCTCTGACCTAGTCACTCCTTAGGTATTTTGAAATCCAATCAGTAGTGGAGCTATCTCCTTCCAGAGGAACATTCTTTTCCAGCCAATTCTTTCTTAAAGGGAACTCACATTCCCTGTGTTTCAGCTTTCCCTGAATAGAAGCCTCGAGTTGACTTTGTTATTGATGATATATAGCATGTTATTCTGTATGATCTTCCTTTTAGTACCTTTGGACGGTTGACCTTTTCAATGTTCTTCCCTAATTCCTTTTTTCTTTTGTTTGCCTCATAATTAATTCCCCACATGCTGGCCGACTTTTATGCGGAGGTTTGCTTGAGGTTGAAATATATTTAGTCTGGAGATCTCTATGTGATGCCAAATAGTTAGTGCATTAGGAGTCATTATTAGACCCTTATGGCTGGTTTTTGCACTGGCGGACCTGAGCTTTAAACACTT